ATGATATAAAGGGCTTAACACAATGTCTTCAACATAATAAAGGATTAATAATAGCTACTAGCCAATATTAGCTTAATTTAAAAAATAAATAATTGAAACTATTATTACCAGGTATGTTGTTTCCATTTCCCTAGATGAGCAAGAACATTAGAAAAGTCATGATCAATCCATAAAATACTATGCTTATATGTGAATGCAAACTATTTCTCTAGGAAGGGTATATACAATCTTTTTCAGATTTTTAATGAAGTCCATGAATGAAAAATGTAAAGACCACTACAAAAAGGCAAATGTAAGTTGGCTCTGTCCTTTGTGAAGGTACTGATTCCCAGACAGTTCCCCACACTCCATTTTGAGAGAATACTCAGGAGCTAAGAACACATATATATGTTATATGTGGTTTTTCTAAGAATAATAATGGGTCACTAAATGTCAGTAAGCTCTTTTATTGATCTGAAACTATTCTGAACACTCCATCATTGATCTTAATGCTCCAGATCTACCACACGCCCATACCCCCCCCCACCCCCCCCACCACCACCTCTGTAGCCTTATCCCCCCACCCCCACCTCCGGATCCTCGGATGAGTCAAAGATTCATTAACATAAGAACTAATAGAAAACTTCCAGGTAAATTAGCTTAAAATCCCTCCCAAAATGCCAGCAAGCATCACTGCTTCCCCAGTTTTGGGCCACTCTCTCCTTTTCCATTAAGTATGTCACTTAATGCCTCTACTATTGTTTTTGTTTTGTTTTTGTGTAGGGTTTTTTCCTAACCCAGACTCCCCATTTTTGTCCTTTTCAAAGCTAGCATTTGCAATAAGAATTTTTGTTGTTGTTCACCAAATAAAACAATCAGAGTAAATATCCCAATCTTAACTCTTCTCCATGATGCCTATTGCATCATGTTCAAAGAATCCTTTTTGTTTGTTGCTACACATAAGACATTGTTTTATCCTTTTCCCAATTCAGGACTATTTTGGACTCGAAATTGTCTCTTTCCACACCAACAAGAATTTATTGATTGGCATGGAAATTTAAAAGCTTTAGGAATTGGAAACCTTCCAAAAGCCTTGTAAAATTGGGGCTAAAGATGAGACCTGTGGGTATCGGGGTCAGTGAGCTTTGTTTTCTGAAGGTGTGGCTTGCTAATGTATTTGTACATTTTGTGCTTCAAATAAGAGCCATCTCTAGCTGATGTCATTGCTATTTTATCTTTGTTTTAGTATCATAATTTCTGTTTTTAACATTTCATGTAAATGTTATAACCACGAATTTCTTGGTTCAAATAGTTACTGACTATTTGGACAATATTCTCACTGCAGACAAACCAAGCCTCCTATGAGTGCCTACCGTAAAGCACAGATGTGATAGTGCTTACCATCTGCTCGGGATGCGCTCTGATGCTGCTGTACATTATCTCATTTTATCTTTCCCATACTCTTATAAGAACAGCTACCCTTCCCATTTTAAAGGTGAGGTAAACTAAGGCTCAGAGATTTTAACTGACTTGCCCCTGCTCCTGAGTGTAAAGTTTTGATTTTTAACTCGTTTGTCTGACTCTAAAGCCCTTGTTTCTCTGACTAATCAAGAGGGATTCAATTAATTTCATCAGAAACAACAATGGAACTTTATCAAATTTGTGTGTTTGTGAGCCCCCGAAGCTTCTAATTCAGTAGTTTCAAGTGGAACTTGGAAAACTGGCAAGGACTCCATTAACAGTATCTATTGTTATTAGTTATGCTGCTTCAGTTTTTCTAATAGGACCAAGAACATTAGAGAACAAGCTATTGATATTCAAAACATTGTGTGAATATGCAAATGTGAATCTCTCTGGGAAATGTTCCATAACCTTGTTTAGATTCTCAATGAGGCCCTTGAATCAAGAAAGTTAAAAACCACCGGATAAAGGCAAACACAAGTCAGTGTGTTCAATTTTTAACAATTTTTTTACGCACACCTGACTATATTTTACCCCCCATTTAAGAACACCAGCGTGCTCAGAGCAGAGGTGTTTACATTATATATTGTTACTCTAAACTCCATAGGTCACAAAATGTCTCTAACTGTTCAAATTATAAATACTTGGAACCATTCATTCCATTTTTCACACAAATGCTCTTCAACTATCCCATAACCCCTTGGAATTTCAAAGCCCATATGATTCGGATTTATAGCCAGGTTTGGGAACAACTAGTATTACTGAACTTCTTGTTGTAACATTAGTCTTACTGATTAATTCAAACCTCTTTATTAATGAGCACCAGTTACTAGCCTGAAATCATAAAAGTTTTCCGAAATACATATCATTTGTGAATAGACACTAAAGCAGTAATAAGGAATCTCAGAGGGAATTGGGAGGGGGGTGAAGAGATTAACCTGGGAATTTATACGCATCTATGCATACCTATGGACACAGACAATAGTTGGTGAAGACCTGGGGGGATAGGGGAAGAGGAGAATCAATGGGGAAAAGGGGGGACATCGGTAATACTTTCAGCAATTAAGATAAAATTTTTTGAAAGAACACATTTTTACAGCCATTAAAAAGAGCTGAAGTTATGATGGCATAGAATTTGTAAACGAATCCCTTTATCAATTTCATTAATTTAGTAACTATTTTCTTGGGATGTATGGCTTTAATACCTAACACCCACCTTCAGAGAGGGTTCTGGAATCACTGCACCATGTAGTTCCCCACCCCCTCCAACAACAAAAAATAAAATTAAGTAAATAGGATACAGCTTACTACTACAACTAAATCCACAATAGTTACTGTTTTTGTGCACCTTCTATCCTCTTAACTGTCTATGAACATGAATGCCTGATCATTGGGAATGCCATCCTTAGTCTGAGATAACACATCTTCTAAGTACTAAGTCTTTCTTTGAATAGATTTTTTAGATATGATATAGCACAGACTGTTGGTTTCTTCTCCATCACTCATTATCTCCTGCCTTCTGATTTGTTGGGTTGCAATGACTCTGACCCCACAGCATGAATTCTCGTTGGTTTAAGTCACTCCACTTTGCCAATGATGGGTCAGCCGGTGGCCTATGGCATAGTTCTTACTCATTAACAAGGAAATTGCAGGTGAGCAATCTCAGTTTGGGGTTTGATCACAATGTCATAAAGAACCGAGGTCCCATGCTAGTTTAAACTCTATAAATAACATCTACCCCTTCTTTTGTGTTTCTTTTTTGTACCCCTTCTTAAAAGAACTTAGTTTCCTACCATACACTAATCTAAATCTATAATTTTGCATTATTGTTTTCAGTAAAAGCAGAATTATTGTGTCTTCTTCAAAGCTGGAATTATTCAAAGACATTTGATGATACCTAGTAAAACTGGTTAACTTTTTAAAATAGCTATTAAAAACTGGTATCTTTAAAAAACTGATTAATTTGATCATATACATATTATTAGTTTTTAGTGAGTATGGTTAATATGAAATAATATTTGTTAGTCTTGATAGCTGATATTGTAGGCAAGGCAAGGTAATAGGTGTTCTGTTACAGCAAACAGAACATTCTACATAGAGCTGAAGGGATGCACAATTGGTTGCACCACAGCAATGGTAAAAAAATATATATTTTTTTATTTCTCCAGATTAATGAGAATCCTGAACAATTGATTTAAAAACAAGAACCTCAAGAAAATGAAATGCTACAAACAATGTTTAGAAGAATAATTTATTCGCACTATTCACAGTGGTTGTATTGTTCAAATAGTGATTTTAGCAATGACTTGCAAAAGCTTGTCATTTTATACACACACAGTCATTGAGAAGACACAGCCAGGCATGTTTCCCCATGACTCACCCTGGATGGTTTTTTTTAAAACGACTGTAAGCAAACTTGACTCTAAATGTATTCAATGACTAATATAAATGCTTTACATAATCTATCACGTGTGAGGAATAGAATTTGTCTATTCACTTAGTCCAAAATATTTTGTTATTATTCTCATTTTGTTTTGTTTTTGCTGTAGAACACATTCCCTTTATCTAACACATATTTTTTTTACTTTAATTTTATTTTTTCAGATGTTCCCCCCTCCCCTTTGCCCACCTCCACCCAGCCCCCCCTTCCTCTTCCCTCTGGCAATCACCTCACTGTTGTCTGTGTCTATGGGTTATGCATATATGTTCTTTGGGCTAATCTCTTCACCTAACACTTACTTTTAAAGGCTCTAGCAAAAAGTCCTCATCTGAGAAAACATGCTATGTATTAGGCAGTTGGGGACTGAGCCAATTCGAGAACTAGGAACACCTAGCCTGCCATAGAAATTGAACAATTAAACTCTTCAAGTGTCTGCAATGGAAGTCAGAAAACAGATTCTCCTGACTCTTGCACTAACTCCTGTGTTCAGGGGAAAACTGCTTAAACTATTACAGCAGCTAACATTTATTTAGTCCTTGCAACATGATGGGAATGTTACCAAGCATTAAAAAGGGGTTTTCTCACTGAACAAACATACGTATAGTTCCTATTAGGGACCTAACATTATTGACCTCATTCTCGCATCAGAAAACTGAAGCTCATAATTTACATCTAAGTTCACACAGCTAGGAAGTGTGGAGCCAGGCTTTGAACCCAGACAGTCTGATTCCAGAAATCAAGCTTAACCACATAATCTTCCCTCCTCTCCTAACCTCATTTTCCTCTTGTATATAATTGCAGGAGAAATATAGGGTGTCCTGAAACATGCATACATTTCATTTCCAAAATTGAACTATCAGCTGTTATATAGTTTTGGGGACACTTTGTATATTAACAAGATAATGTCTAAAGCACTTTTATGCTTTAACTTATTTTTTTAAGCCTCACGCGAGGATACGTTTATTAATTTTAGAGAGAAAGGGAGAGAGACAGAAACATCAATATAGGTTGCCTCCCATATGCACACTGACGGGAGGTCGAACCTACAACCTAGAATATATGCCCCAATGGGGAATCAAACCCACAACCTTTCTGGTGTATGGAACAACACTCCAACCAACTGAGCCATGTGGCCAGGGCAGCTTTAACTTATTTTTAATATCTATGTTTCCAGGTACCTTGCCCTTAAGGAAGATATAATTCAGCCAGAAAGCTGTCTTCAATACAAATATTTATATATACTACAAGGTTATACATAATTAAAATGGCAAAGTTCAACTAAATAAATATTAATTCAGCACCATGGATGTACCAGATGCAGTTTAGTTATATAATCCGATAACATATTGTATATTTATACGTACATGAATAAAATATTCAAAATGGGAAAGCTTCCGGTTTAGAGAGGAAATGGCAAGTGCAAACTGATCATTTTAATAACAGGAAACACATGTTATGAAGGAAATATTCTTAGGACACTTTGAGGAGGAAGCACAAGGCACTGAATCCATTCTGAAATAACAAGGGGAGAAAGAAAAGGTCAGACAAATCACCCTCTCTAGAAGATGTCAAGCTGAGCCTTAAACCGAAAGTAGGAGGCAGCCAGCAAGGGAGGGGGTGGGGGTGAAAGTTCCACAGAACAAGGAACAGAATGGCCTGTGTGGGAAGCAACAAATACTGTGACGTCGCTGAAGCCTCACATATGAAGTAGAACATAATGGAAAACGAGACTAGAGAAGGGGAGGTCTCACATCATGGAGAGATTTAAATACCTATTACTTTCTACAACATAGATCCTAACCAATGGGTCATGGTCAGCAAAGAAACAACACATGCATCCCATTTCCCCTGGCCTATGCCCAAGGTAGGCATCACTCATCACTAAAAGATGACCGATCTTCTCCCGACAAATCTCATCACAGTCTCATAGTCTCCTCAAACCAGTGCTCTAGGCATTCACCATCATGGGTTGGAATGTGGGTCCACGTTGGATTCCATCTGTGCTTCCAGTTGTAGCTGATGGACAACTGGCCAGAAGCTCTTGTTGGACTCGCTGTAGATTGGACCCTTGCCATTGTCAAAAACAGGAAAACAATGAACAGAAGGCCAATCTTAGAGGCAGATAATTCAGGAAGATTAGAGTACAAATCTCTTTTTCATGAAATTTCAAGGAAGATTAACGATGTCCTTGTGCAATGGCTTTGCCAAACAACTGCAAGACGGTTTCCCAATCCTAATGATACCAGGGACGTTGTATTCTGCCATTGTTTTTCTTATATGCTAAAGAGTCAAAGTTCAGCAGGATTGCAGCAGGGAAAGTCCATCCCAGAGGCTGACAGTACTTGCTGCAGTGCAGAATTTAGCAGGATGAGGCTGGGCGCAGTTTGTCAGCAAAATCACCTCATTATAACTCAGCTCCAATTCTAATGAGGACCACGGCATTTTCTTAAAACACGTGCTGTGGTGAAGCCAGTCTTCAACTTTTGTAGTTTGTGAACAATCCTGTTACACGCCCTGATTATTTGTGATCTCATAAGTGGTCTTCCAACTGTATTCTGAAAATATAAATTTTCTTAAGTGAGGTTTTTGAAGTAATCACTTCATTAAGTTTCACCATTAAATGTGACAGAGTTTATACAAATTTTTAGTTACATAATTATTCAAATACATTCTAATCATAAATCTTTTAAACAACAAAGGGGTAGAGACACACCTCGTTCTATTGCTCTTCACTTTATGGTGCCTCACAGACATTGCATTTTTTACACATTGCAAAAAGATTGCGACTGGCTTTGCTGCAATGCTCGCTTTATTGCGGTTGTCTGGAAAGAAACCTGCAGTATCTCCGAGGCATGCCTGTGGGGAGAATGAGAAGTGAAAATCTCCCACGCTCTCTCTCCTACCTATCGCCCACTGTGCCCACCTTATCAAAGGATCCCATTCTTCTTATCAGAAGCACTCTAAATTAACATTTAGGTGTGCAAACTTCCGGACGTTTTTTCTACATAGGTGTATGTACACTACATACTTTTGTCTGGAGGACTTCTTATCACTATATAACTTGTTCTACAACTTGCTTTTCCATATAATATGTTTGGGAAATCTTTCCTTGTCAGAATTTATGTGATGTTTAGGAGCTGGGAGGCTGGGTGAAAAAGGTGAAGGTATTAGGAAGTACAAATTGATAGGCACAAAATAGTCACAGGGATATGAAGTACAGCATAGGCAATATAATTAACTAGAGGCCTGGTGCACAAAATTCATGCATGGTGAGGGTGGGTGTCCCTCAGCCCGGCCTGCACCCTCTCCCAATCTGGGATCCCTCACGGGATCAGGCCTAACCTGGCCGTCGAACATCCCTCTCACAATCCGGGACCGCTGGCTCCTAACTGCTGGCCTTCCTGTCTGCCTGCCTGCCTGCCTGCCTGATTGCCCCTAACCACTTGCCTGCCTGCCTTCCTGATCACCCCTAATCACCTCTGCCTCGGCCCCCACCAGTGTGACTTCGTCCAGAAGGATGTCCAGAAGGTCGTTCAGCTGTCCCATCTAATTAGCATATTATTCTTTTATTACTATAAATAATATTGTAATAACTATTACAGTGCCAAGTGGAAGGATCACTTCATAAATTATATAAATGCCTAACCACTATGCTGCACACTTGAAACTAATATAAAATACCATTGAATGTTAGCTGTAATTGAAAAATAAAAATAAACAGTGTATTTGATTTTAACCATTATTTAGGATTCCATATTCACATTCCTCTACTAATGGATATTTAGGGTATTTTCACTTTTTCTTTATGATGTGACAATTGATTCCCTTAATCATATATCTCAGTGCACACATGTATGTAGAAAACGTATTTAGACGTGGCATTTGCCTGTTCAAAGTGTAGGTAGAGTATCATTTTCAAGTACTCCCAAATTGCATTCTACCTGCCATGTACCTTGCTTTTGGCTATTATAAATATTTTAAATGTTTGTCTAGCTGAAAGGCAAAAATATATCTGTTTTAATATGCATTTGAACATCTCCACATGTTTATTAACTATTTGTAACTTTTGAATTTCAATTAGGTTTTCTTCCTTTTTAATTTTTATGAAGTCTTTTATACATTTTTTTTTGTCAGGTTGACAATTGTCTTTTAATTTTGCCTTTAACATCTATTGTACAGAAATTCTGGAACTTTTAAACACTAAAATCAATTGATGCTTTCCTTTATGACTTCTAAATTTTCTGAATCCCTGGGGTAATAAATATGCTCACTTTTATTTTTTATACCTGTTACTCACAAGGCCTAATGGCCTGTATTTCAATCTCCTAATGAGATAAGTGTGGGTCTGCAGCCTTCTTGAAAAGCATGGTGAACATAAGCAAGGCTCTTTAGGGCGCAGGTGGCAATGCACAGTGCACAATCAGGGGACAGGCTCTTTCCCGACCTTTCAACATAATCCAGCTTTGAAATCTTGTGGCTTTGGGAGTGTGGGCTGGCCAGAGACAGCCCCTTAGACAGGGACATTTCCACTAGGTGTACCTTTGACATCACTTAGGCTCTTCTTGAGATCAGCAGGAGAAGCCATCTCAATGGGACTCTACCTTCCCAATGGACTTTGATAATAATAATAATCACAACATTATTATTCAACTAGAAGCCTGGTGCACTAAGTTCGTGCGGGGGGGGTGGGTGTCCCCTCAGCCCAGCCTGCACCCTCTCCAATCTGTGACCCCTTGGGGGATGTTCGACTGCTGGTTTAAGCCCGACCAGGATCGGGCCTAAACCAGCAGTTAGACATCCCTCTCACAATACAGGACCTCTGGCTCCTAACTGCTCACCTGCCTGCCAGCCTGATAACCCCTTACTGCCCCCCCTGCCGGCCTGGTCTCCCCACGCAGCCTGCTGTTCTGTCATCTGTCTGATTGTTTCAGTCGTGATGGCCCCTGGATTTTTATATATTAGGATATTAACATCTACATAATAATGATGGTGATAAACATGCCTAACATTGGCAAGAAGTTACTGTGTACCAGGATCTCATGTACCATCTCACTTAATACCCCCACCAAACTTAAGATGTAGGCATTATTGCTACTATGACTATCAGCTACTCACATCTTTTGAAGGTGCCACAGCTTATAAATAGCAGAGCCAGGATTATATCAAAGTCTGTCTCATTCCAGAAACTATGAGTATATGCAAGGGATTATCCTGCCTCATACTCAGATGGTTATGAAATAAGCCTTTCAGAATATCCAAAAAACAACTGGGGGAAATGGGTGAAGTGAGTAAGGCTCTCAAATCTGTAAAGGTTTGTGTCATGTAAATTGAGTGTTAAATCACTATACGGAGAGTCAAAAATTGATACAGAAAAAGAAATAGAATAATTTCAAGATGAATCTAAGATGGAAATGTGAAAAAAAATTAATCCATAAAAGTACTAAAAAGATCAAATGATCTTTTTAAACAACTTGGAAAAGGAAATAAACTTTTTAAATGTCAAACAAAACTCAGAAACCATTAAAAATAGATGATAAATTTTACTATATATATAAAAAAACTTTTAGCATTGCTAAAAGACCAAAGTCAAATGACAAATGACAACTTTGAGGAGGAGAGGGGTGGAAATTTTCAACCAACTCCACTAATTAAAAAAAAAAAGCTAATAAATAGCATTTAATGTAAACTGTTCACATAACTCAGTAAGAAAAGTCCAAGAGTAAAATTGAGAAAAATGAAAAATAAATATTAATAGAAAATATAATACAAATGGTTCTTAAACACATGAATATGCCTCACTGATAATCTTTTAAAATAGTAAACAGAATCCTAATGAGGTGAGAGTTTCATCTACCATTTTGCCATGATAAAATCGAGAGAGGAAGAGGAACAATGTTAGACTTGAAGGGAAAATGCATTATGCAAAATGAATTATAAAAAATGTGTATTCCTTTATACATTGTTGGTTGAAAAGTATATTGGTACAACTTCTCTAAAAAAAAGATTGAGATTAAAAGTTTTTCAAAATAAAGTTTCACATACTCTTTGTTCCAACAATTCCACACTTAAGATGCTACAGATATATGATCACTTATGAAAATGATATGCATATAAAGATATTCACTTTATTGTAATAATCAAAATGAGAAACAAGTTAATAAGGAATTATTTACCACTCAATAGGGTAAATAAATTACAGCACACCAATACAGAAGAATACTCCAAAGTCAATAAAAAGAAATAGGCAGTTTGAATAGACTGATCTATTATTAAGTTAAAAAGCAAGGTACAGAGAAGCATATAGATTATGGCAGCATATGTGGGGAAAATTTTTTAAATAAATTTTTATTTTTCAATTACAGTTGGCATTCAATATTGTATTAGTTTCAGGTGTACAACTCAGTGATTAGACATTTATATAACTTATAAAGTGATCACCTCAATAAATCTAGTAGCCATCTGACACTATACATAGTTATTATAATCTTTTTTGATTATATTCTCTATGCTGTACTTTACAACCCTATGACTATTTTGTAACTACCAATCTGTACTTCTTAATCCCTTCACCTTTTTCACCCAACCCTCCCCTTGCCCCTCCCATCTGGCAACTGTCAAAATGGAAAACTTTATACACACACATACACACAGAAAATCTCTGGAAGGATTTACAATTAAAGGAAGAAAACTGAATGATCCTGAAATAAGGGTGAGAGAGATATTTATTTTTGTCATATATTCATGTATCTTTTAAATTTTGAGTCAAGTATAAATGTAACCTATTAAAATAGCAATAATTAATGTTATTGGAAAATTTACAAGTATGTCTTCAATAGGAAGTATGTTTATTTAAAAAAATAAAGATAATTTCAATGCCTATCAACAAGGGAATGATTTTTTTAAAGGGGATACATGGCGTAATGTGCTGCTGTTAAAAATTAGTGTATTCTTTATACAGGGCTGTTAACTTTTAAGATTTAAAAACATGAGTTATCATAGAATAACTATAATCTGGTGTCAATGTTTTTTTTAAAACAATTACATACATGTATGTATATGCATATATCTAGGTATGCTTGTGAAAGGGCCTGGAAGTTTATGAATATCCAAAAAATAGGAGGAAGCAGTGGATAATCCTCCTTGTTTTTTATTCACTCTGTTGTTAGGTGTTATACTTATCACTAATCATTAAATATATGAATATACTCTTCATAATTAAAATCATTGACACCTTATTTGTATTTAGAGTAGTGGTTCTCAACCTTCCTAATGCCGTGACCCTTTAATACAGTTCCTCATGTTGTGGTGACCCCCAATTTCATTGTTACAAATTGAACATAATTAAAGCATAGTGATTAATCACAAAAACAATATGTAATTATATATGTGTTTTCCGATGGCCTTAGGAGACCCCTGTGAAAGGGCCGTTCGACCCCAAAGGGGTCGCGACCCACAGGTTGAGAACCACTGATTTAGAGAATGGAGAAGTGGTTATATAATATTATTACTTTCTTAGTTTTCTCTGAGTTTCCCAGACATGTATATTGTCTTTTTGGTATACTCAATATACTCAAACATTAGGAAATGTATGCAAAATAAATGAGAAATCTTTACTGAATTACCCTATGTTAATGTTGATATGCTGAAATTAACCTACAGTCCACTCTTAGACTTTAATGAAGTGTTTTATATAAAGAGCTTTAAATAAAAGCTATTTGACTGGGTTAAAAATAAAAACACTAAAGCACTTTTCAAATTAAATTAAGAAAACAGCCTCAATTCTAACTCAGAATTTTTTACTATGTATTTATTCTTTTGAAGCCCGGTGGCAGGACAACTTACAGATGGTCTGATGAGCCACAGGAAAATAACCTCGCTTAGCTCATGAATCATAAACAGTTACTCTAAATAGTCATTAATGCAACTTTTCAAGGCATCTGCCTCACCCCAAGGGATATTTTACCTAAGTTTGCATCTTGCTCAAAAGCAAAATAGGTGGATTGATGCCCTGTTTATAAATGAAGCTGCCTCATAATGAAGTCCTTTGGGTACTTCATAATCTAAATTCCTCACCACAAAGGATTAAAATTAATTTAATTTCATACAGAAATTCTCTTCTGCAATTAACAGAGTTTATAAGAAGGATCATATTTAGTTTTTACAATTAAATACCACTGAGCACCCTAAAATACTAGAAGACCTATACAGCCATATTTTTTAGAATACCAGCCATTAATGGACAGAAAGCATGTTTTCTACACATTCCTTAGTGTACTTGAATGTTTAATTGTTTTTAACACTTATTAATCAACAATGAATTTTCCATTTTAAGCCATGCATTTTTAGTTGACTTTATTGGGGTGACATTGGTACACAAAACCATACAGGTTTCAAGTCTACAACTCAATAAAACATCATCTGCACACTGCATCATGTGTCCATCACCCTTTGCCCACCTCCACCTACTCCCCACCTCCTTTTCCCTCAAAAGAAGTAACTTATCTTACATTGGCCTGAAGAACTAGTCCTGAGTAGGAATAAAATTCTCTAAGGACTGAAGAGGTGAATCAAGTAATATTCAAAGTTGCTCAAGTATTGCTCAACTTGTTCTAAGTATGTGATATTTAACTTTATTTTTTTAGATACAAGGAATGTATACTATATGTTTTTGCAATATAACTCAATGAGACTCATTTATAAATAATATTAAAGAGAGTGAGTGTAATAATACTAGACTATGTCCTTTCATAATTAAAGACACTGGTAATGAAGTGGCTTCTATAAAGGTTAAAAATGGTTGCTATTCTATGCTACCCATGAAATATCCAGTTTAACAGGGCCTGGCAGGTAGCAATGAATATAAAAATATCCTAAGAATCCTACCTCTAGGCTGTCTCCATTCCTACCAAACATTTTATGGAAGAGTAAAAAAGCTTTGGTTTCTGCATTTATTTTTCTCCTGTGAAGTGGACATTCTGGAGAAGATTGCATTACCTAGAAAATAAGGGCCATGAGTACTATTAGAAAGATCAATGTACTGGAAATCAGGAAATGTGAGTTCTAATCAAAGCTCTGTCAAGTATTGGCTGAGTGTCAAAGGAGTGTCATTTCTTCTATGTGATCCTTAGTGCCCTCATTTTGCAAAATAAAGGGCTAAAATTAAAAATTCCCTAAGGTCTCACTCACCAGGTCAAGGCAATGGAGAAAAATGTGTAAAAGAATGTCCTCTTCAGTGATATAAACAAGTTGAGAAAATACAGGCAAATTGTGAACTTTTTGTGCCCTGGTTTCCAGCTCAGGATAATAATAAGATCTACCTCATCAGATAATTGGGAGTTATCAGGGAGTTCATATGTGTCAAGAGCTTAACACATTTTCAATAATAATGATGAAAATGTTGAAGTGACGTTAGTAGTGTTAGTTAGTGAGGATGAGCTTATGAACTGGACGTTATGAGATAAGAAGGTAAGATAAAAATATTTGGATAATCTAAAAACTGTATAAAACCTAGAAAATACAAAATGTGATTATATAGTAGTCAGAGGAGAAATTCAGTTGAGGAATTTTTTAATGTGTCATTTATGTTTATCTTTTTTAGGTGCCTTAGATACTTGATCACTGGGAAAATAAATCTCAAATTCTTTTCATTGCTTTAAGCACATAATTACATTAAACCTAAACATTAGATTTCAAGTACAGGCATTAAAAAAACATCAAATGTAAGGTTTTGCAAAATTAGGCAAAAGGACTTACTGAGAGTGATACCAGATTATTCCTTGTCTTGCTCTCATCCAGGGATTTCCTTCACAGCACGCTTCTCTCACCATCATGACCCAGAGATCGATGTTTTTCAGTCATCTGGCTATAAAATATCAATCTTTGAAGAGCGGGCACCTTATCCAAATGAGTTATAAAAACGGGAGACGAGCATGTAGAACATGTAAGTTCAAGTCAAGACATCTGCATTGTATTTCTAACTCTTCCTAATCTGTCTTACTCTGCTACCCCAGGTTCAGATCCTGAATTGCTCTGTGTCTACATATGTGACTCTTTAAAATGACAAGAACACTACGAATCTCTTGCGTACCTCATTCAAAGAAAAAGAAATTTAGAGTTGCTATCTCACCTTCAGATTTAAAGAGCAACTTCTCCTGAGGTAACTAACACATTATAGTTATTTAAAATATTGAACGTAAGTCCTCCTAGTGCCCTTTTTTTTACTTCTTCTTTTCCCCCCTCAAGCCATCATTGCATGCAATTTTATAACTCTGCTCTCAAAAATAGTCACATGCTTCTTCAAAAACAGATTCTTTACAGGTTAACAAAGTAACCCATGTGCCAACTGGAAATGGAAGTTCTTAAGCAAAGATCCACAACCCCCCTGCCAAGATGGCTAGCAATTTCACACTTGAATTCAGTGTGCCCATTGGTTCCCTTCTGATTCATGGGGCCTTCTTTATCATTAGTGTGGGTGTTCCTTGGAGAAGCTTCATCTAGTGACTGACAGCACGAAGCAACTTAGGCAGGCTTCCAGGAAGTACTGTTTTGCCAAAAGATAACGAAACTCTAGCTTGATGTTTTCCAACTCAAGTCCATGTCCCTGTTAAACTGTGAGGGTGTGAGACTGAAAGCCACTCTCTTTTGGTTTGCAGAAACTTTATAGTTAATGATTGGCTGGTATAATCAACACACTAGCGCCAATGAGAGACGAGAGGAGATGGAGCAAAAGGGTAAAGGGTGCAGTTATTTTCAATAAAATGGATGGTGGTTCTGAAAACAGACTGTTAAACTCAATCGCTCTCTTTAGGGGAGAGTCAAATCAGATGCACATGATTTAAACTCCTCTGTGTTGCTAAAAACACTTTTTGCACTATCCCCCAGATCAGGTGGACAAAATTAGCCCTTAGCAAAATTAGTATGGTTGTGGTTGTTTTGTTTGTTTGTTTGTTTTATAAACTAATTTCTTCTTTTGTCCACCTAATGGCCAAGGATTAATTTCTTTCTTTTTTTTGTTTTTTTAAATTACTGTTGGCTGCAAGTAGATAACCAATCATTTTCAAATTCTGTGTGAGATAAGACTAAATTGGCTCAAAGTGAGGGCGTGAATGTTTCTCCTGCAAATAAGGTAAATAGATGTGGTGTATGTTGGGTTCTTCAAAGGTTCATTTTTACTTATTGGGTGAATTTTATTTTTCAAAATTTGAGATTCTCGGATCCATGCGCTGTTGTAGCTCAAATCAGGTTGCCATTGCCTGACCATTGTTCTGTGATGTCCATGTCTGCTTGTCTGTCATGGGCAAAGCCCATCCCCACAGGTCCTGCTCGGCCTGGGCCATATAGCAAGTATGCTCTTAAAGCCAAGTACAAACAATACAGGAGATTTAAAACGACAAGAAACACAGCAACTCAAATTTATAATGAAAAATAAAATCCACATCGTCCTATTTGGCATAAAGCCCCCTGAGGGCAAAAATAGTGACTCCTCTATCTTTGCATCCCCAACACTGAATACGATGTCTGGCATTTTATACATTAGTTGCCTGAAACATTACTTGTTAGCAATGAATAAATAAAGGAGGTCTTTCCAAGTCACCCATAACACCATGCAGCTTGGTGCAGGGGCTACAGCAGCCTCTGTGAGTCCGTGTCCTCATCAGTAAATTGATGGATAATATCTATCCTCCAGGGTGGCTGGAAGGAGTAACTGAAAGAAAAGGTGCTGACACAGAACCTGGCCCAGAGCAGGTACTATTTGCTGAACTAGGACCTCGGATACTTTTAAATGAACTAATAGGCAAGAAAAGAGCATCAATCCCACTCATTCACAGAGATTATTTGGATAAGGAAGAGAAAGTGGGCATTCCCTAAATATGGGAAATATTTATAGTCTCCAGTCCCTAGATATAGAAACTGCATTTATAACAGCAAAGGATTTCACAAGAACAACTTGCAACAGTCCAGAATCTTACATCTATGTATATGCTCCCTGAGCTACTGGACACCGAGTCATTCAGGGGAACTAGGGAACATGACTGAAATCTAAGTCTGTAAACCTCCGTGGGCAGCGTCGCCAACTCTGCCCAGCTCAGAGACTACTTCAAAGAATCTATACAGACAGCTTCATGTTTCAAGGGCCTGAATATCCATCTTGAGTACCCAAGTCTCATCTCTTTCTCTTTGTTCTTTTAGACGCTATTTTTACTTTAACTAACTCATTCCAATCTGCATTAGGGAAACGGTAAAGTGAGATAAAGAAACGTTTATCAAAATTAGTCGAATTTATTAACTATAGAAATGGGTTTAATCAAGGCAGAAAACCATGGTTGTTAAACCATCTCTGTGCCCTCTTACAGCTGTGCATTGAGAGTGACTAGGACTATTCTTCTCAGGTTGCAAAAAATACAAAGTGTACTTTTATCCAAATGAATAAGCTAATCAATTTAGAGCGTTCTTTCCTCCTTGATAAAGGAATCTGAGGCCAAGGTTAGTAAAATAAAAAATCTTGAGCAAAGCAACAACAACTAAAACAGACAAACAGAATCAGGACAATGTGTGACAGTGATGGACCCACTGATGAGATTTATTAAATTTTCCACGTTGACACACTGGAACTGCTCATTTACCACAAAAGACAGCACACTGTGTCCATGGCTCCAGATTCTATTTTGGATTGTTTGGGGAGGGAAAACACATCTCCTGCTCTGAAGAGGAACACCATGTGCTAGTGGAGACATTTACTGCCTTCCCAACTAAGTAGCTTACAGTAGGCTCTTGCTGGTATTCACATAAAAGCATTGTTTGATGGCAATCGACTTATTTCTGATGTTGGAACAAGCGCTCTCACGTCGTCCCACTGCTCAATATGATTTTACAGGGTTCCAGGAACTGTCCCCAGTGTGATGTCTCAAGAGCAATAGGAAAATAGCCTTGGTTTGCATCACAATTTTTCTTTTCATTGTAGAGCCACCAAAACAAATTATGGATTGCAAATAACTTTCCTTTTAATTAACCAAACTTATCCCCCTCTAAACTATTAGTACCAACTGCAGACATAGGATCAAACAACTCAGAAGCCTTGAGGTGGACAAAAAAGGGTGGGTATTTTTGTCATTGCCATAAAATGGAGCACGACACAGGTAATAAAAGAGCAACTGCTTCTGACCAGCAGCACTAACTCCCATAGCCATCCTTGGGCTCAAAAAATGTTCAAGGTTGGCTTCCTTCATAGTCAAAGTATGTGTATGCCTAATAGTGTGATTTGCACAGAATTTGGAGTGTCCCTGATCCCAAAATATTCACCTTGTCCTAAAATATTCTCTATAGTCCTAAAATTCACTTATTAAGATTCTATTCTTTGAGGTTAAGAAGTATGGTTTGCCCTCGCTGGGTAACTCAGTACGGTACACTAAAAGGTTGTGGGTTTGAGTCCTGGTGAGGGCACATGCCTGAGTTGTGGGTTCAATGCCAGTTAGGGTGTGTGTGGGAGGCAAAGAATTGATGTTCCTCTCTCTCCTCTCCCCCCCCCCCCCCCCCGTCTCTCTAAATCAATAAAAAACATATCCTCAGGTAAGGAAAAATTAAAAAAAGAAGTAAGGCTTGTTTTCAATAGTGATACCCCTAAAATGCATAAATCTCAGGCCACCAACAAACTTTGCATACATGTTAGAGGCAATGCTTTCTTAAGAGTGAGTTCTTTGGTGAGGGTTCTCCTCAGTCTCCTGAGGCTCCTAGGTCAGCACTCTCCGACTTTGTCGTGCACACATATCACCTGAAGATCTTGTTAAGGTACAGTGTCTGATTCAGTAGGACTGTGGCTGGGCTCAAGTATTCTAATAAGTTCCTTGATGCTGTTGCTGCTGGTCTACAGGCCACACTGAAGCAGCAAACTCCTAGACTCTTCCCAAGATCTCCTAGGTTGGGACGCAAGACCAAAGGTCAGCAAACCTTTACTGTAAAAGGTCAGATTGTCAATATTTTAGGTTTTGCAGGCTACAGGGTCTTCCTTCCAAACATTCAACTCTGCCATCACAGAAGGACAGTTTCCATAGACAGTATGTAAGCGAATAGTCATAGCTGTGTTCCAATAAAACTTTTACAAAATCAGGCAGCAGACTAGATTTGGCCCACAGGCCACAGTTTGTGGATCCCTGCATTTCTCACGCCTAATCAAGGCAAAGAAAAATATGTTCAGGTCCTAGCTGGTTTTGCTCAGTGGATAGAACATTGGCCTACAGACCAAAGGATCCAGGGATCGATTCCAGTCAAGGGAATATACCTTGGTTGCAGGCTCCTCCCTGGCCCAGGCCCTGGTCGGGGCTCATGCAGACGGCAACCAATCACTGTGTTCTTTTCACATTGCTCTCTCTTTCACTTTCCCTAAAATATCAATGAAAAAAATATCCTCAGGTGAGGATTAACAATAAAAAAAAGAAAGAAAGAAAATAAAAGAAAAATATGTTCAGAATATAACCAAGAGAGCGGCAACTGGGAAGCAAAACTATGGGTTTGGACATCCTCATGGAAGATGTGGAATTCCCTTTAGAAGCCTTGCTGGTGCTCTAGAGAGACATGAGAGGTGGAGGTGCAAAATCACCAAACCACTTACCTCCTCGCAACTTGCCATGAGCTCATGCTAGGTTTTGCTAGCAGAGTAAGGGACCTAGGAATTGGAAGGAACAAGGCAAGTTTACATCCTGAGATCTCATGCCTCAACCGCCAACCCTTTGTAGATACAGGTAAAATCACACTTTAACAATTTATTGTGGCTGCCAGGAGGAGAAAAGTTATTCCTGACAGGCACTGTGATGTCCATTGTACAGATAACACAGGTGGGCCTCCCCTTTGTCTTCCTATTAAGCTCCTTGTACCTATCTACTTTACACGTGAGAACCTAGATATGTGTTCCCAGAGCAGCACAAATTTAATTCCATCCTGGCACTTGCCACTTTGCACTGTACCGTCTGTTTCCTTGCCTCCTTCTCCACTGGATTGGAAGCCTTTGGTGGCAGGGACTAGTCACTAGATCTTGCTCATTGCTGTGGCTCAGGACCACACGTATAGTGACTGATAGATAATAGACTTCTTAAATATTTATTGAATAAAAAGAGGATGGATGGAAGAAAAGGAGATGTTTAAGGTATTTTCCTCTTCACTGTTCTTCCTGGTATGCTTTTAACACTGTACTTACTGCTTGTAGAAAAGAACAACTCTGCTAAGTGAAAGGAACCTTTGGATTCCAAGTGCTGTGTTGATATTCTGTATAGGTCATAGTATCTGGTATCAGGAACTCTGAAAACTTTTAATTGGCCAAAAAAATTGACTTATAAGAGAAGCCCAGTGGGAACTGAATATTAAATGCTACTCAGAAAGAAATACCTCGAGCAACAAAACTACTC